CTCGAGTAAAATGAGTGTTCATATTGAAATTTAACTATAGCTATATAGTATAGCTTTACTTTTCTTTACTTTACTTTACTTTAAAGACTATATTATACATGCAGTAAACTACGGTGTAATGTGTATCCGAGCTTTTATGAGACATTTGAGTTTATAAGCATCTGGATTAAAACGAGTGTTCAGTTTGAAATTTAGCTATGTTCAACTTTACTTCTATATACAGAGTTTGCGGTAAACAGGATAACTCAAGTATTGTAATTTGTCACGGTTTAATATCACAAAAAACATGCTCCGGAATATTATCTTATCCTCCTATACAAAGATTAAACCTTCTAGCTTCATTTACACTTCGCTCTCAATTATTAGTTTATCGTCCGTAATAAGTTGTATCGTAAGTTGCGAAATGGTATACACGGAGTTGCACTATCAAACGCCTGGAGTAAAATGTGTGTTCATATTGAAATTTAACTATATCTATATAGTATAGACTATATTATACATGCTCGAAAACTCAAGTATTGTAATTTGCCACGGTTAAATATCACAAGAAACATGCTCAAAATTATTATCTCATCCTCCTATCCAAAGATTAAACCTTGTAGCTTCATTCACACTTCGTTCACAATTATTAGTTTATCGTCCGTAATAAGTTGTATCGTAAGTTGCGAAATGGTGCGGACATGCTCTGGGAATCTTAAACCGAATGCCTCATAGATTACTTCTATCGAGGACACTGTTGATAATGTCATTTAAAGCTTCGTTGCATGTGGATCGAAAAAACAGCCATAACTTTTACGTTGTTGTGACTAGGTGATTACAACAGTATTCGGTCAATTCCTGGTACAGTAAGAAACCTTGCGGTTTATTGTACATTTCATCTTCTATATAAAACTACTGTCATTGGTATGTCGGCCATGATAACTTACATCATAAGCTTCTCCATAGCTTGCATGGAGTTGCGCTAAGAAAGTTGTATATAAGTACATAAAATGCTCTGGGAGTCTAACCCGGAACCACGCAAGAATACATGGTCCTTTCAAGGACAAATTTTGAGTACCATATACAACTTTATTCAAGAAGATACGACTGCGCAGAAGCAAGAAAATATAGTGCACCACAATCATTGCAACGAAATCGGCCCTATATAGTACGACAAATCTAGTCGTTTTTTGGAAAACGACTAGATTTGTCCTACAAATCTAGTTGTTTAGCCCAAAACGACTCGCTGTCGTGCACGAAGGACAGTACAGTTGTAGTGTTACACTGCAATTGTATTGCCCTTCTTGCACGGCAGCTTGTTGTTTTGGGTGGCCCCCGAAATGCAGGTCCCCGGCTGGCAAGCATAAGCTAAATGATTAAGTAGAAGAAATTTACTGCAGGTTTAAACGTTCCTTCAGTAGCCTATCGGTACCGGCAACTGTTTTCGAGAGTCACTCACACCCTTTAGGTTCGTCCCTGTGTTGTCGCAAGCGAGGGACGATCCACAGCAAACACCAAAGGGCGTGGCTTTTCCCAATACAGTTGCCGTTACCATTCGGCCACGGAGGAAAAGTTAAACTCAACCGACAAATCGGACATGTCTTTCCGCACTCATTAGCATGCAAATAAAAAAAAACACGACCAAATGCTTTTCAGGAGCGTTTTTTGAGCGAAATAAAAAAATAACTATAAAGGAAGAAATATAAGAAATATCTGAGTTGAAAGTTGTGGCTAAAAACCCTCAATTTAAGCTAGAAATAAAGCTTTATAGCTTCGTAAACAGGAATACCGAAACTTCAATTTTGTACATACGGGATATATATACCATGAATCAATGCTTTGTGACGTCAGTTACAGCATGGGGCTTCGAGGAACGGAACATCTAAAAAAAATCGAGGAAAATTCTTTATTTTCTGCCAAAATAAAAAAAAAGAAGTCAATTAAATGCTATAGAAATTGCGACGAGACCATAATGGACGTTTTGTTAAATTTGGGGCCAAATTGGAAGAGGAATGATGAAGAAATTATTGAGAAATTTCAAAGTTAAATCATGGTGGTCAAAGACAAGATGGCGGACGTCTTCTTCTCCAATCAAGAAAATGAAACGAAACTGCTTCAATGGTGTTCAAAGTCAACAATATGTTATATGTGTTACCCTGTAAGTTATTATGTAACTACTCTTGATGTATAAAGCTATTATGCTTTATTTGTTTTACTTTTTACTAACTCATTTAATATTTTATCCTATTTTTCTTAAAAAAATGTTAACTAATAATACGTTCATTGCATACATTTCAATACCATAACATGATGATTACTATCGAAGTGATTACTAGTCGTCCATTGGACATTTTCACCTAAATATAACCCTGTTACATAAAAAAATTCACACACCCCCTAAAATTATATTACAGGTCCCCCCAACACAGCCTTAATTTATCTGTAAAATGTCGCTATATTATTTAATATATACAAAAATAATAATTAATGAGCTATTTTTTAATTCCCTGTAGTGAATCTATCAAAGCAAGATAAACCGTGCATGGCTATAGAGAGTGAACAGCAGAAGATGGTGAGTTGTTTTTTCTCTGGTAAATTAATTTACACGATATATTAAATCAGACTTTAGAAGTTGATAGATGAAAATTAAGTGAAATAAACGCCTCCCAAAACTTTCGTTCCATGGCGACGATGACGTTTCAATATGGCACATATTTTGGCTTAAGGTGGCTCCCTACTGTTTTTTCAGCCGGAAAATTTACGATGTTGGGTGGATTTTTTTTAACAATTGTTACTTGTTGAATAGGAAGAGTATAAAATGTTTATTAAAATTGACGTTAGTGCCGTTGCTGTGGTAACCACGACGTTTTAATATGGCTGGTTTTCTTTGGATTCAGTAAACAATTTAATTCGAAAAAAGAACGGTGACCCAATTTTTTATTTTGTTAATCGTTCGATTAGTGAAAATAATTATTTAACAACTTTTAAATAAATTTCTAGTGTAGATTTTTAAAATTTAAAACGTATTCTTTAGTGATTAAAAAGTTTCTACACTGGCGACCTGTTTGAAAAGATGGCTAATTAATTATTTTCAGGAATTGAGAACAACATTTTAACGAAATAACTTTTCAAATCAGTTCAAAAGCAAAACATCGGCCATACTGAAACGTCATGGTTACCATAGCAACAACAATGACCTCAATTTTGATTAAAAAAATTATACTCTTCAAATAGTATTTTCAATAGCTTAGATACTAGCATAAGCGGTCTAGAAAATATATTTCGCTTCAAAATGCCTTTAAAATTTTTAAATGTAAAATATGTAAAGTTCGTCTGACTTTGCAATGCAGACTCGCACGGTTACGTCAATGTATTGTGATATGGTATAATATTCTAAGGCTGGCAACTCTTCGACACAATACATTTACACACATTAATAAGGTCGCTTGAAACAACAAAAGTAACGACAATTTCTGAAAAAAACATCTTTGATACATTTTCCAAAGTTATTGCAAATTTGTGAGAAAAAACTCAGATATGAAAGAGCGTGGGAAAGGGGGGGGGGGTATGGATCACGTTTCACAACGAAAAAAAAGCCGTTTCACGATTCACGTGTCTTAAAAAAGCAATTTCACGGAAAACTAGATTCTCATAAAATAATATAATAATAATAGGTTTATTAAGACTATGTTTAATGCATGGTACAGTATCTACGGTTTAAGTTCTCTCATTTCTCTACCTGTCAGTTAAAAACTACATCATAACTTACAAGTTTGAGTGCGTGTCCTCAGCGCCAGGAACCTTGTCCTCAGCGTCAGGAACCAGGAACCTTGTCCTTGTCCTCACCGCCGGAACCTTGTCCTCACCGCCAGAAACCTTGTCCTCGCCGCCAGGAACCTTGCACTCACCGCCAGGAACCTTGTACTCACCGCCAGTAACCTTGTCCTCACCGCCAGGAACCTTGTCCTCACAGCCAGGAACCTTGACCTCACCGCCAGGAACTTTGTCCTCACCGCCAGGAACCTTGTCCTCACCGCTAGGAACCTTGTCCTCACCGCCAGGAACCTTGTACTCACCGCCAGGAACCTTGTCCTCACCGCCAGGAACCTTGTCCTCACCGCCAGGAACCTTGTCCTCACCGCCAGGAACCTTGTCCTCACCGCCAGGAACGTTGTCCTCACCGCCAGGAGCCTTGTCCTCACCGACAGGAACCTTGTCCTCACCGCCAGGAACCTTGTCCTCACCGCCAGGAACCTTGTCCTCACCGCCAGGAACCTTGTCCTCACCGCCAGGATCCTTGTCCTCACCGCCAGGAGCCTTGTCCTCAGCGTCAGGAACCTTGTCCTCAGCGTCAGGAACCTCGCGAAAGGCCTCCGAAGTTTTTACTCTTGTGCAATCGAGTGAGATCATATAAATTTGATTATCGCGTATCATGTTTATTATAATAATCACTATAATAATCACAGTTCACGAAACAGGCATCCTTAATTCTCATTTCACGGAGCATTTTTATCAACAATCACGCCTCACGGCTGTAGAACAAATCACATTTCACGACACTAAAATCAAGCATTTCACACGAACAAATATTCACCATTCACGGCTCACGAAGTGTAATTTCGATAAAAAGCATTTTATTGAAGAAATTTAAGCGCTTCTAAACTTTTTTCAACTCTAAAAGGTATCAACAAATAATAGAAAATATGTCCAAGCCCCAATGTGTTTTGTACCTGATTTTTCTTCAGAAATATGCGTTACTTTTGTTGTTTCAAGCGACCGTATTAAATTAATGTGTGTAACAATAACGTAATCATGCGAGTCTGCATACATAGTAGCAAAGACATGCGAAATTTATGTGCATTTTTAAACATTGTAAATGAACACAAATATGTGCTGGATTGCATGCGCATGATACTAGCTTTTCACCAAGTAACAACTGTTCAAAAAGTCTGCCTTACATCGCAAAATTCCCTCTTGCCATTTCTTTTTAATTTTTTCCCTAAAATTTTTATTGCATATTTTTTTGGTAGAGTGACATGAAGTTAACGACTGGACAAAATTAAAGCGAGAGCAAAGACTGGAACAAGCAGATGAGAAAGTGGTAGAAGACGTCGAAGATGATGCAAAAGTACGGTTTGTCACTGTTATTAATGTTCTACAATTAAGAAAATTATATTTATTTTTACTCATTAGGCATGCCCCGCATTTTATTATCACCCGGATTTTGTATTTTTATAACACGTTAAGTCTTATCGTTGCGCTTGTTAACAGAATTTTTCCCATTTTTTTATGGTGGTTCACTGTAAATTGAGCGGAGCATGCATGATGGACCATCAACAGAAATGAAGAACAGAGACCAACAAAACAGAAGCAACGACGATCCAAATATACAGTGAATGTAAGTTTTGCTGGTGCAATGCTTATGCAATAATTTAAATATTTTTAAATACTCATGTTGATTGCTACACCCTATTATACATACTCAGCCGTAATATTGGGAATGGGGGAATTTGATTGCCAACATCATATGACCACCTTTTGTAGCTGGAATTTCAATTATGTAATCTTCTTTGCCTTAAATCACGCAACATATAGCTTGATTGGGAAATTCGTGGTTAAAAAATTATTGTTACAGAGGTGATCACTTGCGCCTCCCGCGGTATCCGCCGCTGTTACTCAGTTGTTCCTTTATTTCTGTGTGATATGCTACACCCTGACTTTTATGTACTTAAAATTTAAAGAAATTTTAGCATTCCTATCTTTACGGTAAAAAGTATATATATTAAAGTGCATATGACATGAAATTTATTATTTTCTTAAATGAAAGAACTCTTTAAGCTGTAGTGTAACTTATATTTCAGTTTCTTGTATTTTTGGTTTGTTCCCGAGATATTTCAATTTGTTTGATAAGTAAATGAGTGTGAATATGTCCGGTAATTTATGACGTCACGTTGGTTGCAAGCTCAACTTACACTGGCTATAAATGTATTAACTCTAAAAACTGAAAATATCAGTTCACGTTTTTCTCCAGTATTTCATCACATTTACCAGTGAGGGAAGTTTGAAGTTATCATCTTGGATGATAGCAGTGATATTCAATCATTTTGAGGAGCTTGGAACCAACGTGACGTCATAAATTAGCGGACATATTCACACTCATTTACATGTCAAACAAATTGAAATATCTCGGGAACAAACCATAAAAACAAGAAACTGAAATATAAGTTACACTACAGCTTAAAGAGTTCTTTCATTTAAGGAAATAATAAATTTCATGTCAAATGCACTTTAAGCAAATGTTTCCTATAACAGGTGTAGTGAACTATTCAATCTATTTTGTTACTAATGGGAAATATCCTTTCATTCCAGATGAAGACCTACAACCAACAAATCCTACAACATCGCCAAGATGAGAGTATAACACAAGTTTTATCAAGGTAAGAGAAAATGAAAAAGGATAGCAGCGATTTTTAATCGTTTCTTATTAAAAACCGAAAAACTACTTAAAACATTTTTGATAAAATAACTGTTTGAAAAAAATGTTTATTTATCCTTCAGGGAAAAGAAATTTTTACATCAAACCGCAACCTACGAGCTTGTACGGAGAGAGAAGACAAATATGAAGTGAAGACAACTAGATCATCCAAGAAAAGACAATACTCGATTGAATTGCGAGATGAAGGAATGGTAGATGACATGGACTCATCAACAGAACGTCGATGCCAGATCAACAGAAACAACGAAAATGCAAAAGTGATTAATATAGATGTAAGTGATGTTATAAAACTTTTGAAATATATGCATGCAGGAATTTCTTTTCAAACCTAATAATATACATGAAAAAATGTTCTCCATTCTGATTGAAATACAGTGCCAAAAAAAATACAGTAGCAAAACGAAATACTTCGAAAACAAAATCACATTTTCAGTGCTGACAGTTGAAACCTTTCCTCCCATGTTTTTCTCTCCCCAGCTCTCCCTATTTCGCCCGAACCTCGGCCAAAGTTTGATTTCCAAAGTTTGATAAGACAATACAGAGTTGCCTGCGGAGGAGGAACCTTGTATTAAGTTGTTGGGTTTAAATGGGTGGGTTAAATGATTTACTTCGCATGTGTTTCGCGCCTGGAATCGAAGTGACCATGAATTTAATATATTATTAATAAGTAATAGTATGGTTTCTCGTGCAATTTGGAAAAACATACACTCGTGAGCTTTTCAAAGACTTGAAATTACACTCGTACTTCAGACTCAAATTACACTCGTACTTCAGATTTAAATAACTCACTCGTGCATTTTTTCCCCAAATTGCACTCGAAACCGTACAAATGCCTATACCAACAACTATAATTCCAAAACGTTGTTTCGATATTTAAGTATCATGCACTATCCCTATTTCGTGTTGTTTCAACAGGTAGGGATTTTGTCAGCGGTGGTCAATAATTTTAGGCGCATTCGAAAGATTATCTTAAACGTTTTGAAGTTCTTTTCTGGCTGTTTCTGGTGAACAGCAGATTCGCAAAAAAATATAAATTCGTTTTCGCAAAAATGTACTGGTCAGAACCTTTCTTCGTTCACTAGTCAAAGTAGTTCTGATAGGAAAATTCAAAATTCGCGATTTTCCGTCGGAAACGGACGATTCCCGACCTATAAAGTTACGTAAAAAAAGCTTGATTTTTCTACATTTTTGTTTCCGATCGTGAGCTTTCGCAAACGTTTCCCTCCTTCCCAAAGAATAATTAAATAACAATATTTTTCAGTAGAAATAACTAGGCCAAAAAATAAATAAAACGTTCAAAAATCAAATGTGATAATTACCCTCCCCAGGTCTCCTATATGTTCACCGCGCCAATTTTGACGCATGCGCAGACAAAATTCCTACCTTTTTGTTGTTGCAACAAAAAGTAATAGGTGACCGTATGATGGCAACACAAATTCGTCGTACCCCTTAGGACCCTCCCCTCCCCCCGGCCACTGGATATTACACTCCAACACACTGAACACAGTTGCCGTGACGTCACATGAAAAACTGTCAGCCTGCACCTTGACCTTCTATTTTTAATTTCGGTGCATTTCACACGAGAAGACTGGCACTACGCGCCTTGGGAGTGGGGCGGAGGACGGGCAAAAGCATTTGACGTCATACTTACTAAATACTGGCCCAAAATTTACCAAAACCTGCCAAGTAAAGGCTAGGGCCTAGGTCTAGGCTATCATTGACAATATTTCATGTTTTAATGCAATTTAACCATGCAATTCAAAATTGTTATTATGGGATAATAAATAACGATGGAATTTTTTGTCTGCGATAATTTGGTAAAATTGTGAGGACCGAATAATCTAATAAAAAAATCCTGGCAATATTACTCAAGCCTTTTAATGATATGATTCAATCCGATTTCATGGACTCATGGATACTTTATTAATTTCAAAAGGTGATGTGATGAAATTTTGATGTGATGAAAAGAGATGATGAAAAGAACAGAAAGAGCAATTCACGAATGGCATGGAGCAAAGAAAAGAATGATGATCGCAACAATCGGAAACCACAACATTGCTAATATGAAAGTAGCAAAAAATTTTACCAATGTAAGTTAGTTAAAGACAAAATACTTATTTAAAGATCAAAGGGGATTCAAGTGAATACAATGATTTTCTCATTGAAAAATTTGAAATTAAACGTGCTACGAGTTTGGCGAATTTTTCGACTTTGTTTTCCAATTTTTGGAGTATAGAAATAATATATTGCCCTCAAAATTAGGTCAAACGTTTGGGTAAAACTTTCAAAAACGTAGTAGATAATAGAAAACTGTTTGTATAAAAAAGATCGACGCAACAATACCTTAAAAAAGCACGAAATCTTGCTTGGAATATTGAAGATTGTATAGTCTTTTCTGAAAACGAAATATTAATCCGCGTCACCCATAATTTAATGTGAAATAAACATGGCTTGGAGTCTAGCACCAAGCATTTTCTTTTTTTCATCGTCAGTTGGTGCTGATAATAAAATCATAGCTGTCAGATGCTGTCCCTACCCAAGTTTATATTCTGTTAACTATGGGATAAGTCACAATGAAATCAACATACGATGAAAACAAGCAACCCGCCTATTTCAAGCGTTAAAAAGTTAAGAATAAGTGGATTATTTTTCGTGTGTTTAATTCCCATGGGAATATACTATCCTTTGTTTTTTATGCTAATTTTTTTTATTTTGCGCAAGCAAAAAGGTATTTGGCAATTTTATTTTTTCCGTATTTTTAATTCCCAGGGGAATATGCTATGCTTTGTTTTCATGTTGATTTCATAGTGGAAATTTGAATATTATAATGAATCCTCTTTGATGAAATATGATAAGTATCTTGTTACTGAGAGCAGCTGCGACGTGCCATGCAAATGATCATCAAGGCGTTCCGGTTAAATGAGTATGAGAATTGCGTTCGATCTGTTTGAACTATATAGACAAACAGTACTATATGCTCACTAAATTAGCGACATTGTAATTTTCGTTTGGATTTTAAACTCCTATGAAAAAACAATTATATGCATTCTCATGCTTATTTAAGCGAGCCTTTGGTTTAGGTAAGTTTAAGGTTTGTATTTATTTCGGACCAGTTAACAAAACTCAAGCCCATGCCCTTTCAGTTGAGATCTTACGTTTCGAACCAGAATCCAAAACTCAGTCTAAGTGGGTTATAGGATAGCTAGTGATAACGTAATTTATCTTTTTATTTTGATTTTTTGTTTATAACGTAATTTATTAACTAAATGTATGGAGTGCGAGAGTGTGCGCCGTGTGTATAGGATGCATGGGGTTAGGCTAAACTAAAGGAATTAAAATTTTGACAGCAATATTTAAAGAGAGAATATATCTTTTCTGAACATTGAAAAAGGACTACTTTCCTATAACATCTGCAAAATGCGTTGAGTTTCGTTATTTAAACAAAAATTATAGCCTGCTAGAAAGCATATAAAAGGAAAAATCCGGATTTTGAGGTTTCGTATATTCATGCAAAAAGGCAAGTAAGAAACTCACCTGTTTGTAAACGCGGTCTTTCGTCTGATTGTCAACCTTTTAATTTATCTGTTTACGTTTCGCCTAAAATATTCGATTAACTAAATTAATTATGTATACTTTACCAAAATTTTAATTCCTTCAGTTTTAAGGGTGGGCAGTTCGGGCTGGTGGCCGGTTGGGCAGTTGCGAGTGTCTGTGTGATGGTGAGGAAAGCGGAAGTTACGAATGGGATGCAGGTAGCTTAGGACCAAGGCAGACAGCTTAGAACTGAGGCAGACAGCTTAGGATTGAGGCAGGTAGGCAGTTGGTATAGGAATCAGTGGGGGGCACTTGTCATTTCGGCCATGGGATTCAAAATTTGCATGTCGAGTATTTGTTACTAATGCTTGCTGTTTTACATTTGCTAGGTATGCGCGTGGCTGCTCTCAAGAGAAGATCGACTTAGCAATTTGCATTATTTTGCATTTGCAAGGTTGGTCTTCTCTTCGCCTCGCTACCCCGGCTGGCTCTCCGAGTGCTACCTCTACTTTAAGTAGAAGTACTTTTACTATATAGTAGAAGTACTTCTGCTTGAAGTAGAGGTAGTACTTGGGGAGCCGGCCGGGGTGGGGGAATTTTTTTTATTTTTTTTTTCAATTCCCATGGGAATTGAATTTTTAATTAAAAAGGAGTCTCTTGTATAATTAATGAACAATTTATTGAAAAGAATTGTAATTACAAATTGAATAACAATAAAAAGAGAACAACCACTGCATACTTATTTAAATAACAATAGAAGAAAACAGAACATGGCACAAAGACAACAATTAACATTGTGTTCAACACAAGTGAATAAGCACAAGTGAAAACACAACATTAAAAAACTTGTTTGCCCACGAATTAACATTAAAAAAGTTAATTCTTGAGGAAACAAGAGAACCTGGTCTTTTCAAGATAATGTTTATACTTCAAAATAAATATTGTAAAACAACTGTAATGATAAATTTTACGAGTTTGACGGAGAAATCAAAAGCGTAACACCAGGTTGTTTTACAAAGAAAATATATGGCTCAAAGACAAAGTAAATTGAACATGCTCTTTTACTTTTTTGAATACGAACTGTTTTTGGTAAAGTGACCAAAATTTTCGCTTGAGTATGGAAAATAATGATTTTATCGCGATGTTTAGGTGCTAAGAGAAGTCCATTCGTTGTAATGCGAGATCAATTGTCAAGTGGTTGGCAAGAAATTGTCGTTTACAACAAATTCCATTTCTTGAAGCAAATTAATTTCCTCAAAGTGGCTTAACATTTTGACAATGCATTGACAGCATACCTCTTTAAACTCAGAAATTATATCAGTCTTTAAACATCGAAACATTACTAGATCATGGGTTCCATACTCAATTGTAGATTTCTTTCAAGTGCCAAATCAAGAAATATTTAAGAATTTGAAATTATCCTGTAGTTTTTCGGAGCCATATATCTTTGAGCGTCCTTTTTAACCTGACAACCGCTTTGAATTGATTATATATAATGTTAATAACTAATTCAAGTGATGAAAATGCAGTTTAACAAAATTTTAAAAGAATGTTATTTCTCCAATTCTGATAGATTTCCGAACAAAACTTCAGTTTCAATTTGCTTTGCTTAAAATGGTGTATTTCTCGTCCTCGATAAATACAATAAAATGATACACTTTGATCCACTATTTTACAAACAAACAACTCCTAAAGTTCACCTAGGGAAACGTTCTGTTTTATATATATATATATATATATATATATATATATATATATATATATATATATATATATATATATATATATATATATATAAACTTTTTGATGCAAAACATGTAGTGACCATGTACAGAAACACACAAAATATGGTTGAACCAAACTTTCAAATGTTCATGAAATATTTTCTTATTTTTTTACACTTTTATTTATATTGGTCAAAACCAAAACTCAAAAGAAAATTTTCAATTGGAAAAAAGCTTAAAGAAAAACAGGAAATAAGTTTTTGTTGGGTACACTTCGATTGTTATGTAACCCAAAAGAAGACAAACAGTTTTCTCAAGTCCTCACAAGGAACAATCAGTTTCCATTCAATCCTTAGAATCTCTATCAACATCCAAAAATTAAATTGCATTTTCATCAATTTCTAGTATCAACATTAAAGCAAACCAAACACAAACATCAAAAGACATATACGGTAGTAGCTCATGCAGGGTTGTCGATTCAACGTATGAAATTTCATTGAAAGATCACAAAGATTGATTTTAGTTGATTTTGGACAGCATTCTTGTCAGGTTAAAACAGACCTTTTTGAAGTATAAACTTACCTTTACGTACTTGTTGAAAAGACCATGTTCGAGTGCCATGTGAACCTGTTTGCTTATATTATTATTATGACTATTATAACACACCATTACAAAGTGGAACTATTTGAATATAATGTTGAACTGAAGCAAAAGAAATACACGTAAACATAGAAAACTAACAAAATCAATTTTAATTGCCAAACAATTATAACCACAACCAACCAATAAAAATTGAAATTGAAGCTTAGAAAAATTCCACACCTAATTAATAAATTGGGGTTGCAGGTCAGATTATTTAAATCAAAAAAGAATTTTAAAATCTAGAACTAGCTTGTTATTCAGATTATAAAATTTGGTACACAAAGCGCAACTCAGTGATTGCCTCTTATGTGTGATGAAACAGCTTGGAAACACACACAAATTTCGATGAATACTAATTCAAATTGTCTACAGTAGTTGACAGCTATGTGGTGTTGCAGTGTCCCTGTATATCTACCATAATCATGTAGTTATGTATGTTTGGTATAAAATAAATAAATATGGTTAATTCCGTGCTTGAATATTGATCCAAATGTTATCAAATGATGCATTGATTACCACGTAGCAAAAAAAACTGTCGATCTTATCTTCAGCCTCACTATTCCAATTATTGGATTGCTTTACCAAACAATTAATATATACTTTTCAATACTGATTGTTTATTCTTCCCTATAATACAAAACATTTTCCAAAGAAAATCATCCTGTAGTCTGGTTGTGGTTTTCCTTGCCATGCATGACAGTCAATTTTCTTTTATTTTCTCCATCTCACATTACCCCCAAATTAAGTGTAGTTTGCTGAGCTTCAGTTCATCCATATTCAAATAAGTCCCACTTTGTAATGAGGTTAAGGCAATATCCTAGCTTATTTCAACCTTAAGTGTTTGTTTTAAAGTTGGAAAAGTTTTTAAAAATCACAAGGTTTGTTCCGAAATTCAAATTTTGTTGAAAACCAGAATGTAGTTGGCAGAATGAAAAAAAAAACATGGAAAAACACAACCCTCCTATAAGTCAGTACTGTACAGAACTGCCTTGTTCCTCAACAAATCCATTTTATTTGTGTCCAGGAATAATCAAACTCATTTATTAAGAGTGTGCTGGGATAAATAAGACAGGACTATTGAACAACTAGGCAGTTCTAACAGTGCTAATTTTAAAAGAATTGTATACTTCAATTGATCATTAAATTAATTGCTTTTGTAAGTTTCAATAAGACTCGAATAAACATCCAAATCAACATTAATAGAAACATTGTGATTTTCAGATAAACTTTCCAAACTTTCAACAAACACTGAAAGTCCACTTAAACAAGAGAAGATTGAGATGGAACATAAGTTTACTGTTTTCACACTGCACTTTGATAAGTTCAAAACACAAATTATGATGAGACAAATGTTCATCAATGTTCTTTTAATTCTTTTAATGAAAACATACTCCAAAATAATACTGAAACATGACTAAAAGAAAACACTCAATCCTGAATTAAAACTAATAAAGTCGCATGCCTTATTTGTAAGTAACCGCTTTGGCTTGTAATAAAAACCACCTCAATCTTCTCAATGTTTAACTGATGCAACGAAGCCAAATACTGACAAACTTTTCATTTTTTATATTTGACAAAAACTTTGTCATTTTCTGGCTTGCACATAAAATGCTTATATCATATGCTTTGAAAATTATAGACATTCTGTGATCAGTGGCAACATGAAACTTAATCAAGTAATTGAGGGACCATGAAACTGAAATTTTCCAAATTAATACAAGTCGAAATAGTGGTGTAAATTATAATAAATTAGTACCCTCGTCCCAAGATAACGCCTGGAACGGCGCTCTACGCCGTTGGCTCTGGGACAAAAAGAGTGCAATTATTGTGCACTCACCATATTTAGGTGTAAAGATTGCATTTATTACTTTTGTTGTATTTTGTGTCATAAGTAACATGGTCATGCTATTTTTGCAATATTCTGCTGGAATTTTTGAAACTATTGATCACAGGCAATCATATAATGTTCAAAACATTTCATGTAAGATAAGACAGAAAAATATAAGACCTTTTATATACTTTCCAATGACAGTGTTCATTTTTGTAATCAAAAACACTTCAGCCAACAACTTGAGACATTCTTGGAAATTGCAACACACATCTAGAAAATTTTAAAAACTCATTATTGAGAACATGAAACAAATTAAATATATTACAAAGAGAATTGTCCAATAAATACACAGCCAGAAACGCGCAAGTCGGAACAGATCTGCAACAGATCTGTTAAATCCTGTTGTCAACAAGCCGATATCTGGATGCGTTTGCTCGCCTTGTACCTGTCTGTTCTGACAGGTCCGCAACGGCCTGTCAACAGGTCTGTTACAAGCTGTTGTGACAGAGCTGCAGCAATGCTGTTTTCAACAGGTCTGTTAGAAGCTGTTGTGACACAGCTGCAGCAATGCTGTTTTCAACAAGCCTGTCACAAGTTGTTGACACAGAGCTGCAGCAATGCTGTTTTCAACAACTTGTGACAGACCTGTTGCAAACCGAGGAAAGCGCCTTATGAAGCTTGTGTATCCACTATTTTGAACAAAAAACGACCAAACAGGTTGCCATATTTCGGTTGTAGTGTTTCGTGAAATAGCCAGACTTTCATATAAACACTTATAAACAAACTTGCGAGATAATTTTTGAGCAAAACAGCCAAAAAAACCCCGACAAATTAAAGAAAGGTTCTTACCGTAAACACTTTTCAAAATTAATTGGTCTTTATAAGTACGACTGAAATATGACAACCTACTTGCATATTTTTCTTCAAAATAGTACATACAATAACACAAAGCTTCAATAAGGCGTCTTCCTCGCTCGCAGATTTCACTTGAAATTGGAAAGAAATTATATAACAATGAAGAACGTTGCAGTGAACACTCGGTTGTTCATGTATTTTTCATTTCTTAAGCTCTAGATCTTGTGTTCTCATTGCCACAGTTACTTAAAAAATCAAAACAAAGCTTTGAACTTGTTTGATTTTGTTTGAGGCAGTTGTGGAAATTTTGTTTGGCTCAAAATTCAAAAACAACTAAACACGATTATGTGATTGATATGTTTGTAATATTTCGTCCAATTGCAACGAGGAATGATGACGTGTGCACACACCTTTATCCAATCAGATTTAAGAAATATAGAGATAGCACACGTCATCAAATTGGAATTTGGATTTTGGAAATCAGAATTATTTTTTTTAAAATAAAACAGCGGCTTTTGCATTTAATCAGAGAATAGATAGTATAGTCTATAGTCTCTCCTATGTGATTTAATATTGCCACCAATGACAATGATTGAATGAGAAAGTAAAGCCGGAAGTGTCCATTTCGTGCGATTTTTCTCTTTACTCACATTTTCGATTTGTTTCCCTACAACAGGCTTGTTGAAACTTGTTGTGACAGGACAAAAATTGTTTGTTGTGGACAGGTTTGTCGCAGGTCTGATAACAAGCTTGCTGCAGACTTGACAAAAACAACTCGCGACAGGTCTGTTGGAACAAGTTGTAACAGACCTGTTGATTTCAACAGACTTGCTGCAAGTTGTTCTATCAGACCTGTTATCTCTTGTTAGTAACAGGTTTGTAGCAGGTTGTTTCAACAAGTCACTACGGCTCTGTTATCAACAGCTTGCGACAGACCTGTTCCAGCAAGCCTGTTACCGCCTGCCGAAACCAACAGACCTGTCGCGACTTGTTGACAAGCTGCCGCAAGCCGGTAAAATCAACAGCTTGCGACAGACCTGTGAGATTTCTGGCTGTGTACAAGGAGAAAGTTACAAATAATTAGAAGAAAAATTTACCTCTTATTCAGGATCTTGGAATGTGTTCATTTTTTATAATCATGAGGTCTTGCAACATTCTTGGAACTTGCACTGTACATCTACAAAAAGTTATGAGAATTTAACTGAGAGTGTGAATAGCTTGGTTAGCTAGCGAGATGAAAAACTCAATATGAACATCAGAGCCTGAAACAAAACAATATCCTGTGGTTTTGGTTTTCCAGCCAACCCTATTTTCTCTGCTCGAACGGGGTTTTTTTCATGATGTGGTTGGGTTGTTTGCTTACCTGCCTACCCTATTTTTTGTTATTTGCTTTATGATGTAAGACCCTGTTTACAAGGTACCGGACGGTAACCGGTCGTTTCGCCAACGAGTCGTTTCGCTAACTGTTAGTTCGCCAACGTCTCGGGTCGATTCGCCAACGTTTCCACACGTTCTTATGTCAGTTCGCCAATGCAACGTTTAATCATGGATTGTAAAATAAACAATCCATGGTTTACAATTATTTTACAATCCATGGTCATTTAATAGTTCACGTCTTTATAATGTGAAACCATGAAACACAAACAATGTTTGTAGAAAATATGTTGGAACGTTGGCGATCAAAAGCGTCACCAGCCGTGTCTAACCTTGGTTATTGTTCTATGCTCTATCAGTTGTGTTAAATTCACGTAACACAACTCTTCAGTTGTAACATTAAAGTAACACAACTCTTCAGTTGTGTTACTTGAATGGTATATCATATGCATAAAAACTTTCACATTTCGTGAGTTTAAGGCCCTACGAAAAATTACTTGTTTAGCGTCCGCTGATTAAGCCTGTTTTACACCGTCTAAAAATAAATATCGGGAGAATTCGCTATTTCGGTTATTCTCTACAAACATTAATAGATTTATACATCCATGTATGAACTATGTAACGTTGGCGAACTGACATAAGAACGTGAGGAAACGTTGGCGAATCGACCCGAGACGTTGGCGAACTGACAGTTGGCGAAACGACTCGTTGGCGAAACGACCGCAATTCGTACCGGACACATTTGGGACCAGTCTGAAATTCATCCTTTTTCGCCTGTTTACACACAAATTCCTCCTGTTCCATAGTTTTTGTGTGTTTACACGGCCGAAAAGGACGAATTTCAGGCCGGTCCCAAATTTGTCTGGTACTGTGTAAACAGGGTCAAACTTGATGCCAAAAATATTGTCTGTTTCCCAACACAGACTCAGTCATTACTTCTTGAAATGTTTATATGTTGTGGCAATGCCAACTGATCACAGTAATTGCTGGTCAATGACTGGTCAATGATCGCAGTTGGAATTGACTCATGCATAACATTGTTGGATGATGTTGGCCCAACAATATTGGATTCGTTTAATTTGAACAGACCTTTAGTTTTATTTCTAATTAACTTTGTTTTGCAAACAAGAATCAAATACGTTGTAACGTTGCTAAAGCAAGGCCTTTTCTGCATATTATAAAATGAACAAAAAAACCATATTGTTAAAATATTTTGTTGCAATATTGAAATGTACAAGCTGATGAAATAGAAATATTCGTCCCACCAAGCACCTCGTCTCTGTACACGGCATTTCATAATGTAAAAATTTTCTGCAAGAACTCAGAAATAACAAGTTTTTTCGACAACTTAAACAATTCTAGATCTTAGTAGTCTTTTTACTCACTTGATGGACATTTAATTTACTTTAACAAAGTTAGAAAATCGCCCATATTAGTGAACCACTGAACCACGTGCAAAGCAAAAGCACAAACTTTATGTCGAAATATCGCATTAAATTCGGGCTCGATGTCTTAAATTTCCATCTATATTGGCAATCTAAGTACTCTACTACAAGGATTGATATTAAATAAAGCATAATACCTTCCAATAAAGGTAAGTTTGATAAAAAAATGTCTTCAATTTTTCTTCCTTGCTTGTCCACTTCTTCACCAAAAAAAATTAAAATTCGGAAATGCCCGGCACTCCGTCGACATCTCTCGGCACTGTACGATGCAAGTCGACAAATTCCGAGCTATTTTAAAACGACAGGGGGGTTGGCTCTCTTTAAAATAGGGAAGGGGGAAATATGCGGGAATGGGCCTGTTAATTAAAAGATGTTAAAAGAGCCTGGGAACGAGGTTGTGGGCGAATGCGAGAATGCTAGAACTTCATTTTAACTTATGACACGCATTAAAAAGTATGCCATGAACGTCTTTTGTTGTTTCAGAGTATTATTCTGGGGGCTTCTTGACTCGTACTCTCGTGTTTTCAGTGATTTTCTCAACTGTCCAACTCAGAAGGGCCTTCGCTCGAAACGTCGAGTTTCTGCTTGTTTTTTAAGGTAGTAATATAACCACTCAGCACAGTATTTTCTCATTGGTACTACCTACACTGGTACAGACAGTTTTAGTATACTGACAAATAATCTTCAATAAGCGCTTAAGGCCCTGTCACACTATTGCGTATCGACAGGCGGCATCGTACTAGCTAACTAGCGTATGCCAGCGTATGAAAAATATCACTCATACGCCGGTATACGCTGACATACGCTAGGGGTACGTTAGGCATAGGTTGTATACGTTTCAAGCATGGTCGCATATGGCATACGGCGAGGCAGAAAATTTTGTGCGTATATCGAACGTATGCTTTATACGATAAGCATACTCTAGGCACACGCTGAATACGCTAGAGGTACGCCGGATGTACGGTACTCACACGCTGGCATTTCAAAGGAGTTTTGTGCGTAGGAAAATTATTTCATTAATTTTCATACGCTTCTCATACGTTTCTCTCATACACAATAGTGTGACAGGGCCTTAATATATAAAGTTCCCTGAGAACGAGTATCTATCACACCATTTATTGATGCGCGGGCTTGAACCCAACCAAAGAGCCTGTTCGCAGGCGAAGTGAACCGTCCACCCCATCACAATTAATTGACTGTCGGTCTATTAACAGTGACTCCATCTAAGACATCTAAACCTATGATCTAAACCTCTTGTCGACAGCATATGGCGACTACTGTTCCACAGTAGACGCCAAAAACGATCCATCTTATGAGTTCATTGGCGAAGTAATTTTAAAAATAAACATTGTCTAAATCAGGATTTTCTTCATGAATTATTAATGAGTATTTTAAATAACATTATAAATAGTCTGTCACATAAATCACACTATTTACGGCCTCCTAAACACGAGATTAGGTTTCAACGTATGCGATGTGAATTTTTAAATAGTACTATCTATCTATCTCTGCGGCTCTGCCTAGAAGTGAGATATCTGTAAGTACTCTGTGCCCCTGCTTTATGACACAGAGAAGAGATAGAGTTCTTCACACTCAGAAAAATGTTGGCCCACTGAACTAGAAGAGTGAATTAGTGGCTCAATTCTTAGCTACTCTACAAGACCTGTTCACATTACTCAACGATCTTCCTTTGCCTTCTGACTACCCTTCTCCTATTGAAAATCTTGTTTCCAATAACTACAGAATACTTCACATATGTCAAAAACTGTACTGATAAAAATACTGAAATATCCGTTTGTTAAGGAGAATACGTCAGGACTCAAGCCTTTGCTTCATATATTTAATATAATCTAGTATATACATATTGTATTAACATAGTTACACCAAACAAAGTATAGAAATAAGTTTTTATTAGGCAGTGTACAGTGGAGACCTGAATTAAGAGCAAAAAAACTAATAGACCATTTCCGAATTACGCTCAATATAGAGTAACACCAGGTTGAGACTCAGTGCTTATCAGTACTCAAAAACGTTAGTGTCTCACTCTGACAGTATCTGTGGTCAATGTGAAATCTAATTGAGAAATGGTCTATAGTTTAATATCGTGAAACGAAAATTTTATCGTTTAGTTCGTTGTTGTGTGGACCTCTATCAACAGCCACTTTTTTAAATACTCCGGCCAAAAAGAATATTGAAAAATTCTTTTCAAATTAACGTTGCAATGGTATTCTATGACTTGTATAGGGAAATGTTTTATTCATATAAACGATTTTCTTAACTTTCGCTGTTTATCGTTCACTTTCCCAGGAGGTAAAAGTTGGTGGCGCTTGATGATTTGCAATGCTCCTCTTGGGTTACCTGAAACAATAAAAGTAAAAAAATTAGCGAAAAATTTAATTTTCTGAAATATGATTCCGAAGCCAAAGTTACTATGAGTTGAAAAGAAAAGGTTTTTGGTCATCCAAATGACCAATGTAAACTTTTGAAACATGACTCCGAAATCAAAGGGACAAAAGGGGACCGCAGAAAATTTTCTAAAAATGCATAAGATGCCTCGACTACTCCAAACCAACTTTTCATGACATGTTTTATGAGTCGAAAATCATTGTTTTGAAAAGGTTTTCGATCATCAGGAACAATTTTGGAAGTAAATTCTTTGTTGGATTGCATGGCGATAAAACATATAATACTTTTTGTTTGTGGAAACATCACGTAAATAAATTTGCAGTAATACATTTACATGGTGTTTCCACGAACAAAATGTATTATAATTTTGGACGTATTCTCAGGAAAAATTAAATTTTTGAAAAATATTACTGAGAAAAAAAGGTCCCTAGGTTTGAGATCAGTTCAGGTGTCGGTAAAACTTTATGATGTATCAAAAATTATGGCAAAAAGCCATATAATCCTTTTATAATCCTTGCTCTTTTTGTGTTATTTTTATCAGAAATGTACCAAACAAGGTATTTTTATCGCTATTTGTTGTATTTGAGTAAAATGTAAATAATAACAAAAGCCCACAATGCATGACCCTGACACTAATCCTTTAAAGAGACTAGCCTGGTTAGTTGGCTTAATTATTTTTGTCTATGCAGTAAAGCGCTGACATATATGCAAACATACCAATTTGAAGTTCAATGTATATAGCGAGAATAACTGCTTGATCTGGGAGATCTTTTAACTGTACCAATGATGTAGCCTAAAGTAAATTATTCAACATAGGAAACAACAGGATAAGGAAAACATTAGAATCTTGCGTTAATGGTGCAGACAATAACTCAAATGAAAAATTGGTAACAAGGTATACAAAAGTATGTGCTCTTTAAAACGCACCTGATAAAGGCATTTTTTCGCTTTATCAAATTCTTCTCGTAAGCAGTGTGCTCCAGCAAGGTTAATAAGGAAAGTCGTCCGTGCTTCAGTCACATTTTGTGGGAATTGGCTGACTGTACAACCTGTGAATGATATAGATAATATGGTCAAGGTGATGATGACTGATGGTGGTGATGGTGTTGGTAGTGGTGATGGTGGTGGTAGTGGTGATGGTGATGATGGTAGTGGTGATGGTGGTGGTAGTGGTGATGGTGGTGGTAGCGGTGGTGATGGTAGCGGTGATGATGGTGGTGGTAGCGGTGATGGTAGTAGTGGTGATGATGATGGTGGTGGTGGTGGTAGTGGTGATGGTAGTGGTGATGGTGGTGGTGATGGTGGTGGTAGTGGTGATG